CGTCCTGCCCACCGCCACTCCCTCCTGCAGCTGAAGCAGTTTGAGCGGCTGGAGCAGGAGGTGACGCGTCCCATCGATAATGACCTGTCCAACTGGAGCCCTCCACAGCACTACGGCCCGGTGCGAGGCAGCGGGGCCCTGTGTCCTGCTGACCGGCAGCTCCTCCTCTTCTACCTGGAGCAGTGCGAGGCCAACCTCACCACGCTCACCAATGCCGTTGACGCCTTCTTCACTGCTGTCAGCACCAACCAACCCCCCAAGATCTTCGTGGCCCACAGCAAGTTTGTCATCCTCAGCGCCCACAAGCTTGTCTTCATCGGGGACACGCTGTCCCGCCAGGCCAAGGCCCAGGATGTCCAGCACAAGGTGATGCACTACAGCAACCTCCTCTGTGAGATGCTCAAGGAGATTGTGGTGACCACCAAGGCGGCTGCCCTTCACTACCCTTCTCCTACTGCGTCTAAGGACATGGTGGAGCGCGTCAAGGACCTTGCAAACAGCACGCAGCAGTTCAGGATGGTGCTGGGCCAGCTGGCAGCCATGTGATGGCCCCAGGCTGCTGTCCTCTCCCCACGGGCCCCATCCTGTCCCCAGACATGCATCCCCCTCTGCGAGTGCTCTCCCTGCCTGGTGTAAGCAGACATGTACATAGAGACTCCTGTGCACACCGGTGGCCTGGGGCTCTGCAGGTAGAGGGATGAGGGACGGGGGCCATCATCCTCCTTCCTCTTCCTCCTTCCAGCCAAAGGCCAGGATTGGTTTCAGAGCTGTGCCCGTCATGAAGCAAAGCTGGGAGGACAATGCGTGCCCACTCCCTCCCTGCTGTCCTCTCTCTCTGTACAAAACTGGCAGCCAGTCCTGGCCTGGAGGCTATGGGGTCAGGCCCCTGCTGAAGTGAGGCAGGAATACGCCTGGTAGTTTGGGTGATGCTGTGACTAATCCACTTGCCGGGGGGCTCCTGAGCAGTCTCTGGCAGCCAGCAGATTTTAAGGGTGTGGAAGCCACCCCTCAGGGTGGGACAGTGTGGCAGGGATGGGTTCTCCTGTCCCCCTGTGCACCGAGGGCTGTGAATAAGGGGCCCCAGGGGGGTAAGGGGTAATAAGGGGCTGGGTGGGAGGGATATAACATCTCGGGTTTTGCTACTGTACTAGCTGTAACCGAACCGCAAACCAAAATTGGTGCCTTTTAAACACAGGGGAAGCGTCCGCTGGTTCCTGGAGCTACGGAGTTGCAGCCCTCCCAAACTCAGCCCCCTGCCCCCCCTCCCCCAGCAGCATAAAGATTTGCCTAAAAACCCCCCTATCTCCTGGGTGTCTGTGTATGCCTGCTGTGGGGAGGGCCCCCTGGAGAGGGGCTGGGCTCTCCTGTCCCTCCCAAAAGACATCACAAGACATGGAGACTGCAGGTGCAAAGGGGTTTAT